GCTAGAACTAGTAGTGCCTGGACAACCCACAGCGGTTGCCTGTCAGCCATCGCTGCCCTAGCGAAAACCCAGAGAGGACGTTCTGCGCGGAGAACGAACGACACGAAAAAGAACCCTCGCGGGCTGTGCCGTCTTCCAAGCTACAGGGTCGGGGCTGAACACACGTGTGGCGTCACGAAGAAGCAAATCCTTTCCTAATTCGGAGGAGCCGCTAAGCCTGTCCGCAAGGAGGCGTTTCAGAGTGGGTGCCCTCAGACACCGAGAGGGAGGCGCGGGTGGGGGTGGGGGGCTGTGTCCCTCATCGGACCAACCTGTTCCCGTCCTCCACGAAGTCCAGGTCTACCACAGCCAATCTAAGCGGAACAGACGAGGACATGAACTTACTCTATGTCTCAAAAAATGCTGCAAGGATGCCTTTCACAATATCCTTCAGTTTAGAAAATTAGCTGTGTGCTTTAAAGATGATAGCTTTACATGTCCTTAGGCTCTTAAGCCTTAAGAGTAACTTCAAGTTACAGGTATAGAACATCTAATTCTCGTATCACCCAAATCGGTCTGAGTGCTAAATTTTCCTCCCTGTCTTCACTACCACATTTTAAACACTTGCTCATATCTGTTTACTCAGAACCCCTTTGGTGAAATCCCTCAACAGTTCCCTGTGAGGGAAACCAACCTGGAACCACCACTAGGCACTAATGAAGCATTAAGGCAGCCTTTCTTCCTGCATGTGAGAGTCAAAATGAAACAGGCAATAGTGGTTGTTCCCTCTTTGGGAAAAACTCATTTCCTGCAATCTGACCCATTTAAACCTTGATTTAGGGCAACCTGCTAACCCTCTTGCTTGAAAAATGAGAAGAAAAATGAAAGTCTGTAGCTCCTACTATTAGTGAGATCTGTTCTCAAAAACCAGCATAGGCGGTGCTCACAGATCCAGACACTCTGGAAATGCCTAGGAATCTGCATTCTGTTCCAGATGGGCCAGGAATGATGGCCCTTCCTAAGCCCCAAGCATTTCACTGCTCAGCTGTCAGCGTGTGACCACTTAAGGCTGCACTAAAGACTGCAACTCCCATATAGTGCTGAGGACCAGGTTGCAAGTCACCTAACATCTCCCCTCAGATGTTCATGCTTTCCATCTTTACTGTTCAGTTCACTACAGTTCTCGCGAAGGTAGACAAACTTTATGCAACCATAACACTTCATACTTTTTAACCTTATGTTCTAGGGATTTAAGCTGACAGGCCACAAATCAGTTGAGAAGGAGAACCTCAAGCAGGTGTGTGCTGAATTATGGCTGAGTGGCTCCAGCCATGATCCCCTGACCACACACACCCCCACCCGCCACACACACCCCCTTTTTTTTTTTTGGTATGCCCGTCTCCTCTCCTACTCTCAATTTTAAATTGCTGGCTTCTGCATACCCTGCTTCCAGCTTTCAAGGCAATGCTACTATCAACCTGGTTCCTGGCACAGGCCGGAGCTGGGACTCAAGATGCCCTGGCAGTGCTAACAGGAGGACTGGAGATGGCCCAGGACTCTGCCCAGGAGTGACACAGGGCAGGGCTGGAACCAGAGTTTCAGGTAGTGTTGGCAACGCTTCCCTAAGCAAGAACCAACACCAGTACTTCCACATCATTTTATTTTTTTCTACAGAAAGGACCACAGGAACATAAATGCACCTACACAGAGTGCAAGTTCACAGTAAGAAACAAGAAATAAACGAAAGGTCTTCTGGCAACCCAAGTAGTAGTTACAAAGTTCACCCCTGAACAGAGAAGAGGCTGCGGGCCCACTACCCACTAAGCCCATTCTGCTGTTTTACATTCAGTGTCAGGAAGCAAAGTCACCTGCCCTGCTGCTCCACAGAAGATCAGAAGCTGCAAATTAAAAAGAGGGCAGCAGGGACTAACAACAGCAACGGCACAGCCTTCCCTCACAAAGAAGAGACAGGTTGACTCTCAAGACCAGATTCAAGAATTCAATAAGCAGATGGGGCAAACAACCTACATATTTCAATCGCCTCAAAACCCCAATCCATTACTGTCAGTAATGGATGCTAGTAATGACCTTGAGTCAACAGAACAAAGGTTAAACCGCACTGTTTAAAAGGGCAAAGCACATAATACACTGAAAAATTTCTTCCACAGAAAAGTACAGTTAAAATAACACTTTTTGCACATAATACCTTATTCCCTAACAGTAGAAAAATTAAACATTGCTGTATACACGAAGCAGAAAGCATTTGAGAGCACAGAATGATAGACTTCACCGCCTCACCTACACTTAATTCTGCTACACATTCATCATTTCACATTCCTTGACCTCCCTTTATAAGCTGCCCAAGTTAACACCCTCCCCGGCACAGGCTGTGTACCTTACCAGAAGTACAGACCCCAGGCACACACAAAAGCCTGGCCTCTCTTTCTGACACCAGCCTCCATTTCTTGAACTGGGGGGACAGATGCACCCCCCGCAAGGCTCACCATGCTCAGAGCCAGGCCCTTCCTCTTTTGCTTTTGGGTAAGAAAAATAAAATTATGTCAGACCTTTGCATGGCGGTCTCTCCTAGGCGGCCCCAGCAGTCGCACTGACATTGTGTTGGTCAGAAGTAAGGTCCTGGGTTCCGCACCCCAGGTCTGTGCAAATGAACTCCGTGGTCCTTGGGGGATACAGAGGCGGTTCAAGGAAGGAAACGAGCGGTAGGTGTGGAGTGAGGAGCTGTTGGAGGAGCACTTCAGGGCGGGCTGCCTCTCCTCTCCCACCCCCAATGTAAGGGACAAGAAGGTGGACAGTGAGGGTCAATGTTACCGGCGTGGCCATTACCAAGAGCTATAGCTCTTCTATTAATGCCAAAATACTGGCTCCCCACCTAACCGCTCGGGCAGCCTGTGCAGAGAAGGCCACAGTCAGGTCGGTGAAGCCGTAGCTGACCGTGGCCCCCCCGACACCGTCCACCCCGGGATGCAGGCAGCCAGAACATCATCCAATCCCATAATCTAGTCTCCAGGCAGCGCCAGCAAGTAACACACCCTTTATAGGTACCCACCTCAACCATGTATTTTCAACAGAAATCTGGAACACATTTTCTTGGTATCTTTTCTTACATAAAAAGGTGAGCAAAACATTTAGTATATGCATTAGAATATTTTCCCTTCCTTCATACTGTTTTCCAGTCATTCACGCATGCATTCATTCATTCATTTAACTATCAAGTACTTGCTGCACATCTACTACGGGCTATGCACTGTTAGGTAGAGAGAGAAGAGCATCACTATTACAACAAACTCTAGTGTCTCATTGCATCTGCACTTCCTGCCCCCTCTACAAAACCACAGGGCACTTAGTCCCAGGGGGACCTGACATCAGCTTCAGAAGACTGTCTCCTTTGTATTGTTTGCCACGATGGCCACAGAAAACAAAGGGCAGCCTCCTGACTCTTTATGTGATCGCAGCAATGACCAAGAGACAACTGCTGTGGTTACTCCTTTAAGAAGTTACCAACTCAAGGCCCTGGCCAGGTGGCTCAGCCTGTTAGAACACACTCCCCCATACGTCAAGGTTGCGGGTTTGATCCCCCGTCAGGGCACGTGTAAGAATCAACCAATGAGTGCAGAAATAAGTGGAACAACAAATCCACTTTTCTCTCTCAAAAAAGTTTCTCTCTTCAAGAGCTACTATCTGGCTTCAGGGTTTACCACTGAAATGAGGGTCACACAAAGTGTGGGAAGCTGAAGTCTGCCCTGCAAGGAAAGGAAAGGAAATTTAATTTAGGAATTCAAAATTCAGAAAAGATAAAAAGCAGAAGCTTTAAGGCTATGTGAAAGAGTTGGCGTCCACAGATGCAAGTCAAGAGAACAGACTATAAGTCAACAAATTATCAAGTCAGTAGAAAATAATTCTATGACATAAAGCATTAGGTAATAGAAACAGTACAGTTATTTGTCTGTTCCCTAATTCAAAATACCCAGGAAAAAAAGCAGGACACGTGTTTTCAAGTTTTCACTCTTTAACCAAATCACAGCTATTCTCCTACTGGTTCCAGGGAAACGAACGGAACAACTGACTGTCACATTTTCGCCAGCCACACTGTAGGACTGCTGTGAGCGCCGAGAGTTCCCCATCGACTTTTACCTCCATCCGTTCCATTCCTATCGCTGCACTTCAACGCGAGGCCGAGAGCCTGAATTACTTGCATGTGCTTTTTTTATCCTTTGATAAGCACTTTCAATGTGGAAGGCCCACCTGTTGACTGAGTCCACTGTATGGCTCTAAGGGCCAAAGTCCAACACCTTCACAAACTTTAGAAAACTTATTAATTTAAAACAAAACATTAGCTTAATTTCAAATCTACCTCAGACTGGCTGCAAGTCTAGGCAATTTAGCATCTTCACACCTGTACCACCTCAGTGTCTGAAGACAAGTCCTGATGATAAATAACAATATACAGGGTGGGGCAAAAGTAGGTTCACAGTTCTGAGTGCATAAAACAGTGTACTCTCGTATTACTTATTAACTATTGTAAACCTACTTTTGCCCCACCCTGTATGTAAAGTGCTCTAAGGCTTAGCTCAAAGGTTCTGCATAAAGTCAAGGACTGTTTGTAATACACAAGCACACTGAGGTCTCCAACCCAATCAAGACATATCAACTCCAAGGAAATGCACGCATTTACAACATAAGCAGCATAGGAATAATTCGTAAACAGTGATCTTAATGACTAGATCACATATTTACAAAGTCCTACAAGTTAAAAGCTAGAAGATCCCACAATTCCTACTTTCTTTCCAAGGTGAGAAGTCGAGCCTCCGGAGAGAAACTGGCTGAGTGGAGACGATGCTGATACCTGGCCCTACACTCAGGCCGGAGTATCAAGCATCTCTCCTTTTCCCGAATTACAAGCTCAGCCACCCCAGGGATAACCTGGGCAATTAAAGGACTCAGAATTCCGCACCGACCAATCGTGCCCTGTCCCCTCCGCTCTCCCTCCAACTTCCTCCTACCCTTCTCTTCCTCCCGGGAGACCTGCAGGTAACAGACGCCTGATGAGAATGAAACTCTCCTCAGCCCCCACAGTCAAGGACGCAGCTGGACAACTGCCTGCTTTCATCATTAATGGCAACGTTTAGGTTCTTTCTTAATCGCAGGGCCGTCACACCCGGAAATGAACTCTCAAGCGCAACCCACTTTGGACTACCGTATCATTTCCTCAAGTCGCGCCCCGATGGCGAGCGCGGGGCACAGTCCCTGAGGAAACCACCGACCCCTGGGCACAGGGGTCACGGTCGCCCTGCCTCTTGCCAGGGGCCTGCAGGTCACTCGTGCTTCCTGGCCACGAGGTGGGCCCGCGAGGCGCGTGATCCTCCCCGGGCAGCCGCAACGGGCACCGGCAAGACACAAGGAGGGCACCAGTGCCAGCTGCCTCACGGGACAATGTCCAGGCGCGAGGGATGGTCACTAAAGAGACCCCGGGCGGCCCGAGGAGGCCCCAGGTAAGGCCCGTGCCTCAGGAGAGCTGAGGACGCGCAACACCCCTTCAGCCGCGACCTCCCGCAGGAGCCCGCTTGGGAGCCGTTGGGGTGCGCGGCCCGAGCAGCTCTCCCTCTGGGACCTGCCCGCAGAAGCTCCGGAAGGCTCAGAGCACCAGCGCCTGGCCCCTTGGGGTGGCGCCCCGTCCCGAGGCGGCCCCCAGCCCGCCACACACACCGCGCGCAGCCCGCACTTTCCCGCCCGCTGCGCTGGGGGCGGGGGTCGCGCAACCTCCGCCACCCCCACGCCCGCTCACGCTCACCTGCCGGGCCCTAGGCTCGCTCCATAGCCGCTGGGCCGTGTGGTGCGGTGCGGCCCGGCCACCCCCACCGCCTCCGGGGAGGGGCCGCCCCACGCCGCGCTCAACGCCCCCAGCCGTAGCAGCCACCGCCACTGCGGCTCCCGCCTACCCCTGGCCCGGCCATTCCCTGGCCACCTCTCCCCGCGCCAGAGCCGGCTGTCCCACACCCACCCCCGCCTCCGCGGCTCTCGACTGTTGGTACCGTCCTAGCGTAACGCCTGCCCTGCGGCCAATCCGAGGGCTCACTCTCCGAGGCCGCACCCCCGCCCTCCAGTGGGCGGGCCTACTGGCCCCACTGGGGACCGCCCCCCGTTAACCCTTTCGGTCCTGGCCTGCGCCGCTTAACTCGCTCCGTGCCAGCTCAAGTCGCTCCTCCCAGCGGCCCATCCTGCCCACAGAGATTGACCTCTCCCATCTCTGGCCTTTTCTTTCCTGGATTCCCTAACCAAGAAGTGGTACTGGAGAGCTGGGGACCCCCTGGTCAAATTCTATTTGTGAAAAGCAATTCCCTCCTCCTTTTGCTCTTTTAATTTGACTCGATTTCTGCTTCTGCCTACCTCAATGTATCCCCTTGCCCCAAATAGGCTGGCCTTCCTCCAGTGAGCCCCCATCGCACTTCCTTCCGACCAGAGCAAAGCTCTCTGCCTCATTTAGTTGCATGTAACGAAACTGTGACTGGTTTACTGTAATGTTAGTTGTTTAACATAGCTCTTGCAATGGACAGGAAGCCCCATGAGGGCAGGGCAGTCCTGGGTCTCCAATACCAGACACACACCCAGTAGACTCCCTGTGAATGGTCTGAAAGATTGATTTTCCCTGCCCTTAAATTGTTTCTTTTCCACCGACTCCATACAGAGCATCCACCGTACAACGCATCCATGCATTTATTCACCCTGTACTAAGCTTGGACTTCATGTACCTGTCCCTGAATGGTTATAGTACACGTTGCTCCACGGGGTAAGATGTGTGACAGGAAAGACCAAGCTGATGCTTTGTTGAACCGACATAGTTCATTCAGACAGCAGAGGGTCGGGGAAAGCACTCTCCCTTACAGACTATGATTTTGGCTGTGCCGCTTACCAGCTCAGAGGATCAGTTCCTCATGTGGAAAATGGGAGTTAATCATCGGGCCTACTTCATGGGGCTGTTGTAAGGACTAACTTAGGAAATGTGAGCACTTACTCTCAGGAGATGCTACAGAAATAATTGGGCTTGACCTCAGCCCCAGACAACCTAGCTGGGGAGGCAGCCCCTCCACAGGAAACATTCGTTACTGTGAGGAGTACACAGTCACATACAGGAGAGTTACATCAGCCTCTTACTGAAAGGAAGGGCCAGAAAGGTTTGGGAGTCATTGTGTGACCGTGGAATACACAATTCTTGGGAAAATGAGCTGGATGGTGACGAGAGCCGTCCTTATTTCTCCACACAGGAGCATTCGTCTGCCTGCAGCCAGCTCCTGTCCCCGAACCTCGTTCACTTGTTGTCCAGATCATAAAGCAAAAGGGCAAACCAACAGTTCCTCTAAGACCCTTTACCCAAAGGTCTCTCCTTTCTTGCCTGTCACTCTGACAAGGACAGTGAGGTTGGGGAGAAGGCCAGTGCATCCTGCAGCCTGCGCTTACTAGGGATCCCCTTTAAGGACATTCAGAGAGAAGGGTTCACGGTTTTTCTAGAATTTTCCCCTCCAATGCTTAACTTCACATTCGTAAAATCCTCGCTCCCAGCCACCCTTGACACTGCAGACAGACATGCTTCTTCTGTCCTCAGGGAAGCAGAGCCATGAGTTCGGGACCTTTGTGTCAAAGGCTCTCAGACAGCAGAACTGTTCTGTCCCCTAGTTTTTCCGTCACTAGGCCACAGGACGCAGGCTCTTTGTGAATGTACGCACAGCACCAGCGCAATGCCTGGCACTCCAGGATGCCGCTGCTGCCCTCTCCTCCTGTGACGGGCCTTGTTTCCCCACCACTCAACAACAGGCACTGCAGTCTAGAGGATGCCATCATTTAAGAAGAGGACTCTGACTCCAAAGAGTTTACATGCTTGCACACAGGAAGCAGCGGCCAGGAATACGGGGGCTTAAATGGTGCGGCACAGACTCTGTGATTGCTGAAAGAATCGGGTCCAGGAGGAGAGTGTGGGCTGGTACCACCAGGGATGGAGGGCTGAGGTGAGCAATATGTGGGTGGGAGGAGAGAGGGACAATACAAACAAAAGGTAGGCAGTGCTAGGTGGACTTAAAGACAGACACCCTCAGCAGGTGATACGTGATGGAAGAGTCGTCGTCTCTCCCCTTTTTCCGTCCTTCCTTCAGTGACTGTCTACCGAATGCCAGACACTGAGCTAGTCCTGGGCCAAGCCAAGACAAGCAAGGCCTGGCCCTCATCCTGGGAAGCTTACAGTCTAGTACTGACAAATAGAACGGAAGGTCAGCAGAGCCCCCGTTAGGAAGGTCTGAGCACGTTGCCAAGACTCCCATGATGCTTCTTTCACGATTCACATGATGTACTGTGGTTCCCGGTATCCTTGTCTGATCTCCCTCTTTGCTTCTCCTTCCTCGTCCCCAAACCATAGGGCTCTTACTTAAAGACACAGTCTGACTTCGCCGTCGCTGTGTTGACGTGCATCGAGTTGGAATCAGAGCAGGAATCTGGCTGAGCCCTCCAGCCAGGGGCGGTGTGCACTCGTCCTCAGCAGGGGATCCAGTGCAGACCCCTCCAGCGGTTCGTCCACAGCCCGCCCAGTTCCACGGCCACTCCTCTGCTTGGCATCGCCAGTCCACCCTTCCAGGCCCATTTTCTGCTGATTCCTTACCCTCCCCGCCCTAAGGGCTTGCTCACTCTCAGGAGCTGACCCCGTTCCCTGCACTCACGGTTGCGATAGGGCCTTCCTCTGGAAATCCCACCTTACCCCACCCCCACTCCACCTGTGAAAACATGACTTGTCTCTCAAAAGCCATTTGCTCATGAAGCCTTTCTAACTGTGGGTGTTTTCCCGGGCTCCTGAGACTCAGCCCTTGGTTTGTATTGATGTCTTTGGGGATAAACCTGACGCCTTCCCCTGGACTGTGAGCACTCGAAGATGAGGCCAGGGTTTTATTTGTATCTGCGTCTCTGGAGCGCTAACACTGTCGTGGCCCGCGGCAGACACTCAATACTCGAAAGAGAAGTTTTAGGAGACCAGGTTCCACAGACGTGGGAAATCAGGAGCATCAAGGCGTTATCAGCCCCTATCAGCAGGGTCTGTGGGGACTATTGTGTTCAAGGTGCCTCCATACACTAACACAAGTGCGCGCACATGCGCACACACACAGACCCCCTCAAGAAAGTGCCCCCATGGAGAAGGAACACACCATCTGGGAGCATTGGGGAAGGACGTATGGGGGGTGGAACTAAAGTCACAGCGTCATTAATTGTGATGCCTGATATTTGGTGAAGTCAGTAACAGGTAAGTAATTCGTAGGCAATTCATGTCTTTACAAGTTTGAGGTAAGTATTGGTTATATAAAAAAATTTGATTCTTATGGCCCTTCCTAGGGCCTGCTTGGTACTCATGTGGCGTGTTGCTGGGGAGTAAGGGGAGGTTACTGTCGGGGTATGGAGAGTTGTTCTGGGAATGTGGCTTTTAAAAAGTGCTTACAGGAGGAAACAAACCAACCTCAAAAACACCAGCAAAAGCAGATCAACGTCCTCCTAGCGAGGACCTTAAAGTAATGAAGTCTCATGCAAGGATGCACTGACCTTGGCTTTGGCCCCGCCTCCACCTGTTGCTGATGTAGAAATAGGTCTGGAGTCGGAGTGACCCGCCTGGAGAGACACGGCCGGTTAGAGCAGAACCAGAGCTGGGGGTCGCCAGAGACCCGATGGCCGCCAGGGTGGAAGCCTGAAAACAAGGCCCGCCCTCCAAAGAAGGCAGAAAAGAAAACTGACAGCACCAGACACTTTTCCTTTTAATTTTTATACTTTTGGCGTATCATATGTAGAAAATGATGAGAATACAGCTCCATGAAATTTCACACACTGAACCCACCTGTGTAACTAGCAGCTTCCAGTCACTGCCTGCTCCCAAGTGTAGACACTGTCCTGACATGTAACACAGATGTCTGTCTGCTTTTGTACCCCACGTAGATGGAACCTGATTGGCCCCTGCCTGGTAAGTCGTTTTCTGGGTGCACAGCACCCTTCTGTGTCTGGCGTCTTTCATTTAACATCATGTTCCTGAGATTCGTCCATGGCGTGTGTAGTCACAGGTCCTTCATTCTCACTGCTGCACAGAATTCCGTTGGGAGACCACATTACCATTTCTCGATTTTTATTCCTGATGGACGTGTGGGTGGTTTCCAGGTCTGGGCTGTTATGAATAGCCCTGCCATGAGCATTGCGTGCCATGAAGCATGTT